GAAACTTACCGATTTTGCATGAGCTTAGTAGCTCATCGGCAAAAATGGGGAAATTGTCTTAGTGTGCTGATCGGCGAAGAGATATGAGAGAGAAAGAGAAGAATATTGAGAGTGAAAAAGAGATGAAAAATAAAGGGTATACCTAATGTAATAGAAAATAGTTTCCCACTGATTCACTGGGTACTTTGGTGGGAATTGTCTTATATAAATTTAATTTATTTGGTGAAATAATTTTTAAACTCGCGGGTTTTTAGTTCAAATATAAGAATTCGAAATTTTGAGCTTCCCACTGTATCAGTGGAAATATTAATATAATTTTTTATCTTAGGTTCCCACCGTTTCACTGGGTAGATTTTAATACTTTTATTTTTAATGACATACCCACTGATTCAGTGGGAAACAAATTACGCGCTTTTTTGCGCCAATCCCACTTGTAGTCTGTGGGATCGTTTTTAAAAAAAGGTAAAAGAAATCCTTTCCATTTCCCACAGAATATTTTTACATTTCAGTAGGAACTGCCACTGATAATATATATGTGGGAAATTTCCTTGGGAAATTTGCATTTTTCGAGTAGTGAAAGAAGGTCGCACTGAGACTGAGAATACCAACGGAACACTCTCTTACCCCACTGACCAGCTAGTGTGCAATGACGACTGGCCCGCAAGCTACTCAATTGTTCTTCTTAGCTTTTAGTTGATCTGCAATGCTTAATTACATAAAAAAAAAATGCTATGAGTTAACATAATTAAATATTTAAATTATTTAAAAATAGATTGACAAAACCTATGTTGCTCGGACACATAGAAAATATTGTCGGATATGTGTCGAATCCTCCAAAAGTAGTACATCAACATTTTGAAGAGTCCATACAACATAGGACAAAACCGTAACTAATGAAAAAACTATTTAAACTCCCTAAAGAGTAACACATACACATAAAATAGGACGGAGGAAATACTTTTATTTCTATATAAGACACAAAATAACCATTCAGCTTCATAGTGATAAACCTTAAACAATTTTATATAATTTGACCCACAAAAAAAATAATAGAATCATCATGAAACCAGCTAGAAAGAAGAAAAATGAGGGGGAAAAATACCAAGAGAACTTAGAAATCCCTGAAAATTGGAAATTGGAGAGAAGAGCAATCTTTTCAGAGTTACGTTTTATGTTTGATGAAATAGATATTGCAAATTGCAGAGAAACCTAAATTTTCATAGTTAGAATATTGTGTCTGATGAAATAATTCAATTCCAGAAGAAAACTGTTTATTGTATATTGAATTAGTTTCCCTTGTCAGGTAAGACGACATCTATTTTTATGGTAGAAAAAGATATAGAAATTACAACACACACAAGCAAGGTACGCATAATCGAACACGAACCTCACTATGAAAATGTTTGCATATTATATATATTTATATATAGACATATTAAGTAAACTTTTTAGGCGAAGACACCGCTTCAATCAAGGTGCATTCGCCCCCCACCATATTTCATGCGGCTATTAGTTAATATAAAGTGCTTTCTTTGTTCCAATTATTTGAGACTATTATTGTTGAGAACGTAACCTTTTTTCCTCCAAATATGAAATTTCTAGCATTTTATAATATATTCGACTATTTAAAAATTTGTTTATCAACATGTAAATTTTATATAAAAAGTTGAGAAATGTTGTTCGAATATTTCAAATAGACAACTAGATGACTTAATCTTCATACTAGGAGCATTGCCTTTTGGGACAAAAGGAGTACGCCAATCAAATATTTAAAACGATGAATCAAACATTCAATAACAATTATTTTAGATTCACTAAATAATGCAACGAACACATACTTAATTCAAGGGCGTTGTGTTGAGCCGGATTAGAATAATATATTACTAAAACAAATAAACAACGTATAAGTTACAAGTCACAAAGTACAACCATGTAGGAAAGTCAATTCTCCAAGAGAGCTCACGATATGGAGACATACATAAATAAGATGACTATAATCTAATACTAATAAAGATACATAGACAATCTTATGGTCTTGGGGATATAGTGTCTACTAATAATACACACATTCCAAGCAATTTGGTCTTTGTTAAGCACTTTGATCTTTGCTGAAGTATTTGGTTTAATGTGACATGATAGACAAAGATAGCATTTGGCAAAAATTATCTTAGTACTTTGACGAACATCTGTTACTTCAAACAGTGGCGCACACAAACTTTTTGTAAGCGGTATCATATTTAGAAGAGTAAGCTAATGAATTTGTAATGATTTGTAAATAGAACAATTTAGATCAATAAGTATTATTAAAGTATTTTTTAAATGTGTTCATTAATGTCACGACCTCAATTTCCCTCAGTTGGATGTCGTGATGGTACCTAGTCTCTACGACTACGTAAGCCTAACAAATAATAATAACTGAACAGATATAAATTAACAAGTTACTGAAAATAACTGAATAATAGATAAAAACCTTTCGAAAACAGAATCTCACAATACACACCCCAAAATCGGTGGAACTGAGTCATAAGCTCTACAGAATACAACTAGAGTACTACTACATCACTATCCGAAAGGAAATACAACGGTAAATGAGAATAAGGGAAGGTGACTCCGAGGCTTGCGGACGCCGAACAAGCATACCTTGAAGTCTCCGATAAAGCAGCTAGCTGGAAATCTCTAACGACCGACACGAGCAGACGTACCTGGATATGCACAAAAAAATATGCAGAAGCGAAGTATGAGTACACCACAACGGTACCCAGTAAGTATCAAGCCTAACCTCAGTAGAGTAGTGACGAGGCCAGGTCAAGACACCTACTAGCTAGGATAAAAAATAGATAGTATGAAAATGTAATATGGATATGTAATGAAAAACGAAGAACAAATAAAATGAAACCAATATAATAGCATGCTAGTACCGAAAATCAACAATTGGAATAGCATAAAAGAAGCAACTAAAGGGGCTACGATGATCATGTACGAAACAATAACTGCTAGAACAAATAAGAGCGAAACAACAAGATATATTCTCACCAAAACACTTTGCAATATGGAATAACAACAAGAATCGCAATGAGGTACCGGCTCGTATATAATGAAATCAAAATTGAGGTACCGCCTCGTATAATCAAGATTCACAACCGAGGTACCGCCTCGTATTCACTTTTCTCAATTTCAATCACAATCTTTCCTTATACCGCCGTGTGAGCCTTACATTTAAAATTAGGTTTTTGAAAAATAGTTTTCAAAATAGCTACACGCACTTTAGCCCACCTTATGACGCCGTGTGGCTTCATGTAGTTCCCCTACAAGCAACACGCACATAAGTCCCACCTTATACCGTCGCATGCACATCAACCCCAAGCCTTATACTGCGGCATGCGCGTCAATATCATATCACAATAACAATTCGCACCACAAGTGATCATAGATCACAACATGCCAACAATAACAATATCAATGTTTCTACAACAATAGCCCATGGCTCCACCACAATGTATATAAGAATATCAACAACAACAATGGATGAAAAATGCTCGATAAGATAGATGTTTCAACAGTAACCAACATCGCCTCAACGTATTAACGACTTTCACAACTTTATCACCAAATAACTCAACAATGAGAGCAATAATGTATCACCACGATATTAGATAAGACTAACTCACAGTGAAAAAGATAATATTTAATAATGAGTCTCAAACAACGGAAATCAACAAGTAAAGGGATAACATGAACAATTGCTTCAACTAACAAAAATCAATAATGAAAGAGATAACGCGAACAATAACTTCAAACAACGATAATAACAATAAAGAGATAGCATGTAACAATAAAGAGGCAACGAGTTCAACTAAAGCATGTGAGAAATTTAGCAAGTAGGATGTAGAACAAGTACTAAACAAGTCAATTAAGGCATGTAAGGATAGTCTAACACAATTAAAGATAAATTGACTATGAGAATTTAGAACATCATATGGCATTTCAATTAAAGCATGGAATAGTCTAAGTAGCCTAAACCGGTCAAATACCACGTACAACCCATTTTTCTTAAAATTCGCCTCCACACGGCTCAAATCTAACCAAAATCGATTCAATATAATCAAATAAAGCTAGGGAATTCAATTACAATAAATAAAGTTAAGATCTTTACACTTTTCTCAAAAAGTCAACAAAAGTCAACCTGGGGCCCGTCCGGTCAAAATCCTGGTCCAATGGTAGATTCCGTCTACCCATGACCCCACTAGTTCATATATGTGATTAGTTTATAAATACGAGTCCAAATCGACTGTCAAAACTCATTTTCTTATTTTTCAAAAAACTTGACAAAGTTTCACCAATTTTCACTTTGATTCACATGATTTTGATGTTAAAATCTGAGATATGTTGACGGAATATGATTAGAAATAGATTAAAATCACTTACCCAAGGTTTGTAGGTGAAAATCCCCTCTTCAAATCGCCCCATACAGAGTCTAGAGTTCAAAACTGAGAGAATGAGTTCAAAAATTCCGTCCCTCTGCTATTTGTCCAGTCGCTGATATCGCAATTGCTGTCATCGCAATTGCGATGAAGAGTTCGCAATTGCGAACCTTGGACCTCCGCAAATGCGACCATGGAGATCGCAGATGCAATCCAGATCTACCCCGGTTACGTATCGCTAATGCGAACATTTGCGAACCCAGCAGACTTGGCCTATCTTCGCAATTGCGATCCAAAAACTCGCAAATGCGAGATCTGAGGCGTGTGCAAAAAAACCAGCAGACTTAACTCTAACAACACTTCGCTAAGCGTCGGAAACTCATTTGAGCCCTCGGGGCTCCAAACCAAACATCCATACAAGTCTAAAAACATCATACGAATTCGCTCGCATGATCAAAATACCAAAAATAACATCTAAAAACTACGAATCAAACACTAAAATACATGATTTTCAAAGAAATTTTCAAGAGCTTCTAGAATTACAACTAAGCGTCCGAATCCTATCAAATCAACTTCAAACGACGCCAAATTTTGCAAACAATTTCTAAATGCCATAACAAACATATTCCAAGTCCCATCATCAAATTTCGAGCTCGATAGCTAAAAGTCAACTTACGTTCAAATTTTTCAACTTT